ACTCCAGAACACAGAAACCAATTTCTTAACTATCTGACTTTCAGTAGAAATACTTCCAGGGTCAATAGGTAAAATAGCAGAAATCCAAAACCAACATTTAATTCTTGAACCCAGCTGTAGAAAGCAAATCACTTCACAATGCTTTTTCAGCATGTCTGATTTGGGGGGGGGTAAACTCTAAATAATAGTGGTGAATCTTTTATTGAAACAATCTAATCAAAGCGGATAGAGTGTTAACTAGAATTCATCTGCCTCACAGGGACGGGGAGGGGTGGGGGGTGGGGTTTTATTGGGGTTCTTCATGGGAAAAAATAAGTATTGGTAAAGGGAAATGTGTTTGATATTTGCATGACTGAGACATAAACCTGAAAGCTTTGTAACCTTTCCCACAGTGATTCAATAAATAAATAAAAAAAAAAAAAAAAAAAAAAAAGAGTAACACCTAAGCACTGCTGTGGCCCCATAATTAAAATAACCAAAAAATAACCAAAATTAAAATACAAAACAAAGAACACATCAACAAATGATATGTTCTTATTTATCTATCTATCTTGGTTTTGAGGTCACATGTGACAGTGGTCAGGGCATACTCCTGGCTGTCTTCAGGGAACAGGGTATGGCAGTGTGAAAGGCCAGTATCTTAATCACTGGACGAATCCTTCAACCCCTGCTCTGTTCTTATTTTAAATGCATATCAAGGGCTGCCACTTTAAAATTTCATCCTACAGACCCACCTTTACTAATCTTTACTTAGAATTTTTATGAAACATTGGTTACCTAGTGGGAAATGAATTTGGTCATAATAAGTATAGTTGGAGAAGGAAAAGGATGAATTTCTGCTGCTCAGAAAGCCATACTCCCTCTGATATTTCTAAGCTATGTGCACACTGGACTGGTTGTACTGCACAATCAGGTGCAGGCACTCAGGTACGCAACAAGTCGTGGATCACTTTAGAAAGTCAGCAGAGTGACAAAGATTGACAATCAGCTCTCGAAGACCAAGGTCATGAATCAACTTGCATTGAGTGAACCCTACCCTCGTCTAAAACCTGTCATTGGAGATAGCAAGCTGAAAGCTGTCACTGAAACGTGTTATCTCTGTGGAAGGCTGTCAGGCGTTGCAAGTGAAGGAGAAAACCCATATCAGAAAGCCCAGTGAATTGCCTTTGGCAGACTTCCGGAATGTGGCACTGAGGTGGCACTCCACTCTAAGATCTTATTACAGTCAGTGTGGCAAAGCTCCTGCCTGCCATATTCAGATAGGCTAAGTCCTAGCATTTCTATCTCCATTTGCCAAAGGACACAAGCATATGAAATATAAAGCAGGGCCGCATACATTCAGAATTTTAAGAACCAGACAAGAACACGTTCGAGAGTCAAGAGATTGGAATGAAAGGTGGATATAGACAGTATTGCCGGAACACACAGTTCTGAGTGACTACCCGGATGGATGAATGAACTTACAAGAAAGGGTATCTGCTGAGAGGAGAGAAGAACTGCTTATGAGGATGTTATGAAAAAGAGCCCAAAGCTGGAAACCATTGTGCTGAGTGAGCAGGAAGCAATTCCATGAACAAATCGGTCATGTCAAGCCAAAAAAAAAAAATCAGCTGTCAATCATTTCAAAGGAATACTGGTTTGAAGAAACAAAGTTGATCCTTCAAGTAGTACATGAAGTCAGTTAAGTTTTAAAGATGGGGAAATTTCTGTGACCCACAGCATGAATGGGACCGAACGGCTGATACTGATGACATTTTACTAGAGATCAAGAGCAGCCAAGGATTCTCAAAAGGATTCCTCAGAGTGATTTGAGTGTATTCTTACCTATCAAGAGAGGAGACACAGAGAGAGAGAGAGAGAGAGAGAGAGAGAGAGAGAGAGAGAGAGAGAGAGAGAGCAGGGTCCAAAGCATTAGTACAGCTGACAGGGGATTTGCCTTTCATGCAGCAAACCAAACTCAGGTTCGATCCATATGGTTTCCCAAGCACTGTCAGGAGCAATTTCTAAGTGCAGAGCCAAGAGTAATTAATTCCCAAGCATTGCTGGTGTGACTCAAATAGAAAGAAAGGAAAGGAAAGGAAAGGAAAGGAAAGGAAAGGAAAGGAAAGGAAAGGAAGGAAGGAAGGAAGGAAGGAAGGAAGGAGAGAAAGAAAACAAGAAAGAGAGAAAAAAAGAGGAAGGAAGGAAGGGAGGAAGGAAGGACACAAGAGACAAGGAAAGATACTAGGAAAGGAAAGAGATTATTAATGGGTCTGGGTTATATCTGTAGCACTGTCCTCCCGTTGTTCATCGATTTGCTCAAGCGGGCATCAGTAACATCTCTATTGTGAGACTTGTAAGTGTTTTTGGCATATCGAATACGCCACGGGGAGTCTGCTAGGCTCTTCAATGCAGGTGAGATACTCTCGGTAGCTTGCCAGGGCTCTCAAAGAGGGGCAGAGAAATCGAATCTGGCTCGGCCACGTGCAAGGCAAATGCCCTACCTGCTGTGCTATTGCTCCAGTCCCTGGGTTATATAATTTTAAAAATAAGATATTGGCACTAACAGATGGAAAAGCATGAAGAGCTCTTGCCTTACATGCAGATGACCTGGCTTTGAAATCCTGTATCCCATCTAGTCCCTGAAGCCCCACCAGAAGTGATTGCTGAGCACATCCAAGAGCAAGCCCTGAGCACTGCTGGGTGTGGCCCCCAAATAAAACAAACAAACAAAAAACGAACAAAACTAAGATTTATGAATGATATTTCTAAAATGAACAAAATTCCAGGCAGCAATCAACAAACATATGACAGCCTGGTTTTGATCATCAGAAGACTAGAAAGTAAGGAATGGCAAGGCATTCTATGTGACATCCTGCCCATAACAACACATAACTGATGGTTGCACACTAGTAATGAAGAGAAAGACAGTGACAAAAACATGGCATTTTGTATTCACAACCCCCAAGGGACAAGTGAGGTGTGCAAAAAAGGCACCAGAATTGAACTGCTGGCCCATATTCATATAAGAATCAACAACAAAGCAAACTCAAGGAAAAGAAGAAATTTTTCTTTTTCTCTACGCAGTCAAGGAAGGAAGGAGGGAAGGAAGGAAAGGATAGAGGGAGGGAGGGAGGGGAAAGAAGGAACTATTTTATATTTAAAAATTTTGCAAATCATGTTTAAATATATAAAAATTCGTACTCCTCCCATAACAAAAAATAAGCAAATAAGTAAACAGGGTGAGGAATATGGCTCAAAGTGATGATCTGAATGTGAGAGTTCAGGTTTGATCCTTAGCAATGGCATCACATGTACCTCCAGGGTACCAAGCTTGGAATGTCTCCTCCCGAGATTTCTCACAGGTATGGCTTACACAAAACAAAACAAGTTGCAAATAATCTTATTAAAAATAGAGCACAGAACTCAAGATGTTTCCCAAGAGAAAAGACAAATAGCCACCATAGATGAAAAGATGATCAATATTACTAAGTGTCAAGAAAGTGCCAAGTAAAACTACAATGATGTCAAATAATTTTTGTTAGAGATACAACTCTCAAAAAGATGTGATCAGAAGTACTGCCAATAATGTGGATAAAGGAAAACATACAGTGACTATGGATATAGTGCGGAGGCCCCTCAAAAAGCTAAAAATACAACTACCAAAAAATCTACATTATCACTTCTGAGTAAATAAATAGCCAGGGGAAGAGAGACCACTCCATCAGAGAAATCCCCATGTTCACTGCAACATTATTATTGCAAGCAAGACTTGGACCCAATCTTAATGTCTCTTAAGGAATGAACAAATAATGAAAATGTGTCACACACAAAATTGACTAGTATTCAGACACAGCAGAGAGAACACCTATCATTTTCAACAACACGGATGAACTTTGAAAGTGTTACGTTAAATAAAATAAGTCTGACAGATAAAGGCAAATTCAATACGATATCGATATATATATGTTTAATCTAAATTTAATATGGTATCTAAATTTAATACTGTATGGGATTACACTCATGTAAAATCCAAAAATGCAAACTCGTAGAAATAAATAAGAGGAGAGATGGCAGTTTCCAGAGGCTGGAAGTAGAGATTAATGGGGAGAAGGTGACGCTTACGGGACAGAGTGCTGGGGACTCCCTCACCGAAACATGTGCTCCAGCACTTTAAGATCACCTCCCTGACCTAAAGAAGTCTAACACTCTTAAATGTACTCACCATACATAAACACTTTACAAAGATCACTGTGATGTGACATGTATGTTAATTTGCCTAATGGTGTTAATCACGTTACAATATATGTGTACCAAACTATCAAGTTATACATCTTAATCTTATATAATGTTCTCTGCCAATTATAGCTCAATAAAGCAGGAAAAAGGTCATTACATCCCTGCCTCAAAAAAATAACATAACGCTCTTAATATGAATTTTTCCTGCATTGAAATATTATGAATAAGTAACACAGCAGTATGGTAGGGGCAGAGAGGATATGTAACTACAGTAACTTAAAGAGTGAATTCTAATCTCGCTTAATTCTAATTAATAGTCATTTCAATGACATCTGGCTAGTGAATCATGCCATAAAGGACAGAAGAAAGGCCTAAGAGTCTCTTCTACACACTTTCCATGTGTTGACTGAATTAATCCTTTGAGGCTGATATCATTTCATTATGCACATCTCACATTTTTCAAAAACTGAGGCACAGTGGCTAAGTCACTTGTACAAAATTACAAGTAATTTTAGTTCTCAAATTTAGGGCTGATTTCAAAGCTTTTTCTCAGTTGTATTCTGTAGAAAAGACTGTACACCCCTGACACACCTGCAGCCAACGACTACTGCCACAGACTCGTGCTTTTCAACCGTGTTGCAACAATGAAGTGCCCGTGCCTTGCAATGCAGCATCACTACTCTAGCCGTGGATATTACTTGCAAGTTATGCTCAAGCTTCAATCATGGGCACAGGAATATTCTGTGTTTCTCTGTGAACCAGGAGAGAAGAGCAGAGCCTACCTGTTTTCCCTGTGTTTTTCATCCAGGTTTTGTTTGAAGATTCATTGTCGAAGCCGTCAAGTTGCAGGTCCTGATACTCTTCACCAACTCGTGCGTGCTGGTCTACAATGTCGATAGGAGACTGGTGTCGCCCTCCACAGCCGATACTAGATGTAACCCAGTGTTCGGGACCATAGGTGCCTATAAAAACAAGCAGCATTCCAAGGGTCAGGGACAGAATACAGACAAGAAGCCAACTACTGCAGCGACACAAAAACGTTTTCCTACAGTTCCTGAGTTTTAAAAGATGGTAGTGCAAGGGCCAGGGGTATTTATAATACAGGGGTATGGTGCTTGCCTTGCTCTAGCTGATTCTGGCTCAATCCCCAGCATTACATATGGTCCCCCAGGATCATGTAGGGTGAGACCAGAAAACAAAAACAATTAAAAAAAACCTAAACACCATAAAAGGAGTAGTGCACTGAAAAATATGTGTGCAAGTTATTGAATTCATAGGGAAAGATTTAAGAAAATAAAGTGCGACTTGGAATAGTTTCACTTTTTGATTTGTAATCAAACATTTGGTAACTCTATCTGTAACCCGATTAAGGAAGTTGAGCAGAAGGGCTGTCATAGCTATTCGCATTTGGAAAAAAAAAAAGTAAGCTTCCTAAAATAAGCAGAGCATTTATTCACATAAAAACAGCTTCATTAATTTAGCAAGTTTTGCTATTGCAATCAGGATACTAAACACAACTTTTTTTTTTCTCAGCTCCTCCGAGTCTGTCAAGTAGAAAATAAAAAAAAAGTAAAAGAATTTCAAAGTAATATGATGCAGAATGATTGTAATCATAAATAATGTTAGCAATGAGGCGCAGTTTTCCTTTGGTTACCTGGGAAAATGTCTCAATCTGGCCAGTTTTGTATTTTTGTATGTAAAGCACTTGCTTCCTGATCTCAAACATTCTTTATCATGGTTACATTTAGCTAAGACTCGGCACATATATGATAAAGAATATGAGGAACATTTATCACAGAAATGCAGGAATGAAGTGCACCGAGGAAACATAACTTCAATGGGTACAAAAAGTGCATAGGTAGAAAAACCCCCTTCTAGGGTTTCCCTTGCTATTCAGAAATACAACAATCAGGGTAATAGCAACTTAGTTGACAGTAAGCACTGAAATTTTTTCTCCTCCCTATATTTAATCTTCTTATTATAACAAAGCAGAAGTATCCCGTTCAAAGAAAAATCCTTGGAAGCAAAGATGAAGATGAATCCACTGTTGAATAGTAGATACAGAATAAATCTAAGCTTTATAATAAATCACAGACTTCCCAACTGATACAGTGCCGTGTGTATTAACATACATTCATGTAGAAGAGCACTCTTGCATTGCTGAGCTTAAAATGTCTTTACGGATCAGTTAGAAGAGGATGAGAGGAAAGTGTTATTATTGGAAAGGGACCAACCCACTTATCCCCAATTTGTTCATGCCTCACCCTAAAGATACGCTTGTATGATTGTGGCCACAAAGACAGCTTAAGGTAACTCTCACCATTATCATTTAAAGAGTCCAGGTTATGTACCAAACCACCACCATACACTCATCTGTCATGATTCTCACCACCTATTACAGTTGAAAGAAGACAAAATGGCACAATGGTGGGGGGGGGGGGGGCGGAGGAAAAAAACAGAAATAGTTTTTGGTCATGGTAAAGAAATTTCCTTGGTTAGAAAAATCAATGGGAACTCGATCACCATATGACTGAAACATAAACATTAAAGTCTGTAAGTCTGTAACTGTACCTCATGGTAATCATTAAAAATAAATAAATAAAATAAATAAATAAAAGAAAAGAAAATCAATGGGAACAGGTACTGACAGGTAATCCCTTACTCTTGGTTACTGACATATAACTTTTATTAGCTCTATGTCTGGATCATTTTCTCTAATCCTTATTCCCAATTATGAGATAAAGAAATTATCATCAATAACACGATAATTTTGTTATTTACTAATTGGCAAAGGTCTCAGGGAACAGCCAAAAGTAATTTACAAATGACACAATACTTCTAGAAGAGTTAGCATTACCAATTTTTCACTGCCGTAGTTCAACTAAATTAAGGGACAGCAAGGACTTTTCAATCATGTTGTTTCTCTTTTGGTCAAATTTCCCTAACACTGTCATAAAGAGTCATAAAGATGCATTTGCATGTAAAATAGCCAAACTAAATTTTCATGTTGTATCAATACATTTGGAAAGGAAAAAAAGGAAAGATGAGTGGCTCCAATGATCTTATCCACTCTTTCCAAAATTTTATTCTACTAAAGCACTGTGAATTACAAAGCTAATCACAGTTGGATTTTTGACATACACTGTTTCATCTCCAATCCTGTCACCAACTTCAAGTTCCTTCCACCAGTGTTCCCAAGTTCAAGATGAGAGGGAACTGGTCAACATTTATAAATAGAGACACCTAATAATTACCCCACTAATTTAAAAAAAAAGCCTGTAAGCTTTGAAAAGTATTTGCCATTCCTATTATTTCTCATATCTTCAAGACATGGGTGAAAGATAATTTAGCACTTAATAAAAAATATAATCAAGATTCATACCAGTGAGATTCATTTATTCACTGGTAACAATCTGCAGATTTAAGCTGACTACATGCTTGCTTCCACACTTCCACCCAATATACATTCAAGTGCAATTTTAATTGAAACTGATCTTCCACTTCAGATTTTAAATTAATTCTTCTTTGGAGTGCTTCATGCTCCAAACACCCTTGCTTTGCAAAAACCCGCTGTGTCATTGAGTGGAGGAAATAGAATACTTTCCCCAAGCTTGCAGGTATTGATTATCTAGTCCCATATTGAAGCACCATTGCCATTCCACACTATATAAATCTCTTCAGTGTTGAGACACTTTATAAAGGAGTGAAAATTATATCATTAATCATTTGCAGTTGTGCGATTCTCACAGTATCAAATGCTTTGTTTTTCCAGAACTTTAAATAAATGCTTTTAAGTAAAAAACTTGATGCTAAATAAAGACTGTGGTTAACTGAAACCAAATCAACATGAAGTCTTCCTCTCATGGTTATATATCTAAAGAAATAAAAAGGAAAAGTCATTTGCACTTTAGTTTTCTCATAATGACTCTTAGAATGAGCAAGCTATTTGCATTTTGGCATCTGGGTCCATTTGAAGCAGCACACCAACTCTGACATGGCAACCTAACGCAACCTAACACAACCTAACCTTACGTTTCAAAGCAGGAGAGGAAGGGGCTGGAGTGAAACCTGCAAGGGCATGTCACCTGCCAAAGATAATTTTCCTGAGGAGAATCATGTACGAATGAGATCTTGGTGGAGACATACTGTTCAAAGAAAGCCTAGACGTACCTCTCATTCAACCGATGACTTAAGAAAGAGTATTTATTCCATCCGTTCACAAATGTATCCAAAACCTTTGGTGATACAATTGATCTTAGTGTAAACATCCTCTTGCAAGGGAGGTGGGCATCGGAAAAGCACAGGTGTTCTGCACTAGCTTAGCAATTTGCTTTTGCTGTCCTGTGGACATCTTACATCTTAACACTCTTTAGTTTACCATTTATTCTTTAATGCCTGTCTCCCCGACTATATGGTAACTATAAGAATAAATGAATCTCCATCACATCCATCCTTACTCCAGAGCCAGCATAGAGTCCTTCATGAGTAACTTGTTAATACATAGGAGGGGGCACGCATAAAATAGAAAGCAAAATGAGAAGTTTGCATCATGGTATCTTCCAATATAACACAGCATAGACTCTGTGCATTGTTTTCGAGTTAATTTTATACTTCCCATCTGCTGTCTTCTAATTAAGTCTTGCTCATTACCTTGATCTCAAGGGTAGGGAAGAAACTTCCCAAGTAAAAACATCTGGGGTTGGAGAGATAGTATAGCAGGTAAGGCATTTGCTTTGCAAGTGGCTGATCCTTCTTCAATCCCTAGCACTGGGTATGGTTCCTTCGCTGTAGGAGGGATCCCTGAGCACACAGCCAGGAGTAAGCCCTGCCATATATGGCCTTAACAAACCAGCAACCAAAAGTCAAAAAAAAAAAAGTTCTTTCCTTTGTTAATATGTTATATCACTCTCAATGGGAAGAAGGTAAAATTAGTGTAAATAGGCACTGGTGAACAAGCTCATCCAGCTCAACTAGGGATTTTAAAAGTGCTTAAACCTTGCTTTTCAATACTTATTGCAGAGCACAAATTTTTTAAGGCTATCTTATATTTTGGAGATTTTTAGAGAGTTCTCTAATTCAAGAAAGTCAAAGAAGGAAGAGAATTTGTCTTGTTAATCATCTGGTACATACAATTTAAATTTAATTGCCACCTCAACATCTACAAGGCAAGTTTTGAATTCTATGGGATAGGGTTGTTCCAGATCCTGTGGGTATGCTCTGTAGAATCTGGCTATCTTGGGCTCAGCCTTCTCATGTGTACAACAGAGCAACTAAGTGACAAGCACATCAATACAGGGTGGTGAAAATTAAAAGAGAGAATCCATAGGAATATCGAAAAGAATGTCAAACTAAAAACTCAGTAATGGGTAGATTTTCTGAGATTAAAGAGCAGGATTATTATTGGTGCTATTGGGTTGCTCTGTGATAAAATGTTTAGCAAACCATCAAGAGTGTGTTTGTACAATAAGGGTATAAAGACGGACAACTATGGGTTAAGAAAAGTGGATAAAAGCATTTTCTGGTAATCAAAACGGATAGCCTCAAAGGTCCGTGAACTCCTCCCAAGAGGACAGAACATAAAGAAGAGGTGACTGACGTATGGGGGAATAACTTACTGAAAGTTAGAGAATGTCCTAAGACCCTCAGATGTCAGATGCTTCCCACGACAGAGTATAGCTCCAGGAGGTGAAGTAAAATCCTAAACAGCAGGAACAAAGAATAAAAAGAAGAAAAATAGGGGCTACAAACACAGTAGCACTGCACTGTCCTCTCCGATTTGCTCGAGCGGGCACCAGTAACATCTCCATAGTGAGACTTGATGTTACTGGTTTTGGCATATCGAATATGCCACAGGGAACTTGCCAGGCACTGCCATGTGGGAAGGATACTCTCGCTAGCTTACTGGGCTCTCCGAGAGGGACGGAGAAATCGAACCCAGGTGGACCATGTGCAAGGCAAATGC